AGGCTATACAACCCGGTCTGTCCTGCTATTTACCCATAGCTTGGGAGAGAAGAAGAGGATTAATACATTTCCCAATAGTATTAGCTCGTAAATGAATGCAATGGATTTGAGTGGAAACCGAACTCGGCTCTCCGGTTTCTCAATCCAAGCCGCTTACCCCTCACTCCACTGTGCCTCCTCTCTTGGATTGTAGTAAGTTAATTTTCTATTAAAGAAAATTTACCTTTCGTTAGATATCAAAACTGCATTTCGTTTTTATGGGAAACTACCTTTTCTCCCGGACTGAGTTTATCTTTCGACTTCGGAGGTCCTTAAAACAAGATTAGTTTCAATTCCCCGGTTTTAATAAATCTACAGTTGTGGATGGAATTTTGTCGGTGATTGTATTTGCTAACTCATATATTCATACGCGAAGCTTATAACAATTCAAGCATTTGCTGTACTTTTTAAATCCAACTTTCTTCATTTCTATAGAAGTTACTTTACTGCGCATACGTGTTTGATTAGATATCAGTGATATTTTAGCTATCGTATATATACACACACACACACACACACACACACACACACACACACACACACACACACACACGCACACACAGACATATATATATATATATATATAGTCGCACTGAGGAGCTGTGATGCAGCGAAATAGTACTGTCTTCGAATGACATAATTTATATATATTAATATATATTCCAATTGAGCACTGTTGAGTGATGAGCTAATTCTATAACCAACAGCCACCTGCGTTAATGCAAAGCTCTTCAGTAAAATGAATTGGAGCACTCCGGCTGATTGGCATTTGTTTATATTCCTAAAAACAATACGATAGATTTTGCTGTGTAACTCTGACTCCAAATCAGTTAGGTTTCGATCCTGCCTTGTGGCATTCGGATGTCTAGTCGCACTGAGGAACTGTGATACAGCGAAACAGTACTGCCTGCGAATACATATATATATATATATATATATATATATATATATATATATATATATATATAGTTGTATATTTAGGCAGCAATCCTTTCTTTATGCATGTTTTATTAAAAACGACAATAAAATCCGCTTTTATACATTTACATGGCAATTACGAAGTAGCAGTGTGTACAGGTAATGGTAGGTGAGGCCGAGAAACTTGAATTCATGGAAATGCCCAAACATATCACCTGCGGTTTGGCATTTCATTGGTCAGTGCAAACACGGGTTACGTCGGTCACAGAAATTATGGTAATCCTAAAGTTGTACGATATAATATACCGTATGGTTAGGACCTTTCATTTAAAATATTGTGCGGATATTTCATATTCGTCCGTACACATTATCACGTGTAAATCAGATGAATACCTGATGGAAAACATTACCACCCATTGTGGTCATCGCCGTGGCTGATGGCGGATCACTAATGATAGGGACCAGAGGCGAGTGCGTTGAATGTTGACAACAGTAAATGAGGTCACATCGGCTTTTTCGCTTGGTTGGCGATCGACAAACCTTTCGGTTTGACAATGAAAGACTTTAACACAGAGAATTTTAACTTAACTATTTTTTTTATTAATGTTGACATGTACTAATTATCCACTTCACTGGGGAGCCGTTTTAGACAGGAAAAAGAACACGTCTACATCGCTCAACGGTCAAGAAAGAACTCACTGAAACCTTTCTGCTATCTCGTTCCCACGCTAGTTCAGCCAATCAAAATCGACTTCTCCATTTTAGTTCACATCTGAGCCCAGCTGTCAACCTCCGGAAGTCGGGGCCGAGGTACACTTCCTCTAAAAAATAATAGTCTGTTAATCTATTAGTTAACAGACAAACGGCACGAGCTCAATTCACACCCACATTCAATGCAAAGGATTCGTCAGGTTGTTTATTATGCTCCTTAGTTTTCATGAGAACAGAATACTCATTTGGGTGTTCTCTAAGCCCTGCGGCACCTGGTAAAGTTCTTCATGGTGCCATTAATTGCACGCTGGAGTTCTGGAAAGAATAGGTCACAGCTCCAACTGGTTTGGGTGTCCACAGAAGTCTTGGATCGCCGGGTCCATCAAGATATCTTGTTGGTTCCATAATAATGTGTTATGCGTTCGTGTGGCACGCGCTAGGCACGCTGGTCTTTCTAAATTCATCACATTGACTGTTAGCAACGCCGCTTTACTACTCTATGATATTGCACTCATTTATAAACTCAGTCTTAGTATTTATCGATCCACCCACGAGGATTGAATATGGCACAAGGCCAGTTTAATGTGGGTATATCCGAGCCCGTAGGCTCGGCCAAAAATATAGCCTTTGAACCCGCCTAGACGAGTTCAGGCCCTGTCTACCTCCCCGGACGAAACCTTGCCCTTCGGCAAAGCTTTGTCCGGGTTCCTCTCTTCCAACGCAGGGAGTTCGACAGACGTCGCTTACAGTCAAAGACTGTATCATGACTCAGCTAGACTCGGAGGTCTTACCCTCTCTGTCTATCTGTCTTAGTATTTATCGATCCACCCAC